AACAAAGTTTGTCACGAAAGACAAAATAGGTGCAAAATCAAAATCCTTTTGGTTGTGCACACAGACATAAATTCTGCATTTATTTAAACTGACACAAAAACAATCACAATTCATCTGTCCGTGTTGAATTAATGTGTTTCAGTTGAATATTTTCTTCAGTGCACTCCAAGTAAAAAAATAAATAAATAAAAAAAGATGTTAGCTTTTCACTGTTCAAAAGGTATTATTAGAAGGTTTAATGTCGAATCAGGATGCTTTTCGGGTGCCCTGTCTAACACTGAAAACTGACACCTAAATCTAAACAAACAAAATCTTCAAAAGCAAACATCAGGCAAGAAAAATCAATGATCAATAAAATATTAGTTTAGATGAGAATCAATAGAAAGGCCAATGTGCTATCATCTTCATCCTCTTAATGTGGAACTCCCTCCTCTTTAAACAAGCTAAGTGTTTGAAAAAATTGAAGGATCATGGATCAACCACCAAACTTTCATGGCTGTTCATTCCTCACTGTATTGTGAGGTTATATACTCAGAAACATGCGGAACAAAACTAGTATGGATGTTAGTGGGCCTGTTGTCACCTTCTCAAAGTCAGAGAATTGTCTTTCCAACCAAGAAACAAAAACAAAACACAGGGCTGTCTAAGGAAAATGGTTAAAAATGACTTGTTTTCCACGCTAAAACGATGTCACATGTCTCTGCATCCCTAACAGATAGGAAATTCTGTCAATTTACAGCGGATATTCACTTTTTAAACATTTGTTTGCATGTGTGCTCACATTCCAGAGACCAACCCAGCTCCCTCACACTGCAAGGATAAGACTTCCAGGTCGTTAACCTCTACTGTGACAGAATATCAGTCTTATTCTAAAGAATCATTTTTGCCTACCCCCCGGATGTTGCTGTCACTGAATATCAAAGTGCTTTGTTCTTTTTGAAATATAATATGATATTTCCACTCCCATCAACACGTTCATAATTCTCTCTTATTGCTCGGTTTGTCCGCCATGTCCCTTTGCCCTGGCTTTCTCCACTCCCTGCTGTGTCTGTGCACTCTGGTCAACCTCTCTTTTGGTTGTTTTGCTTTGATTTTTCAGTCTTTTTTTAGGGTACTTGAACTGAGGTGAAAAGCAATTTGTGCATATGTACAGAAGTGTGTGTTGGGGGAGTATGGCAGTGATAAGGGACCGAGAACTACTTGGACATAGATGGATGATGTTTTTCTCGCCCCTCAGCCTCACTCCAGAGTTCCACTTCTCTTCTGGTTTAAACAGCTACCAAACATTCAGTGTATGTCTTTGACTTGAATTTTTGTTTTTTCATTTCATTCTGTGAGTCACAAAAATACATGTGGAATGTTTTTCCAGTAAATAACCATATTTGTCTTCATACCACGATCCCTGTCTCGAGCATTAATCAGTTGCTATGCACCACAATGTACTGTATTGTCCTCAGGTGTCTTTTCCTTTTGGAGTAAACAGTCATAATTTCTGGAAAACTGGGCAAGTTTCAAAAAAGATAAGCCAGAGTTAGTGAACCTCCCTTGATAAAAATCCACTGGTTCACTGGAGAGACTTGCTGAAAAGTTGCTGTTTGTTAGATTTGTTAGAGTTAGGTTTGTTATGCCTCAGCTAAGAGTTGCATGTATAGCTAATTTTTGCATTTGGCAGAGATTTCAAGTAAAGCGTTCTTTTTGCTTTATGCTGTAGCCTTCTGAATCACAGTATTTAGTGAAATACAGGAAGAAAAGGCAAGAGCTCGGGGGTGGGAGTTAGGGCAATGGGAGGGATCATGAGCAGGAATCTGATTAGGGCTGTTGCATCTCTAACCTGTGGCCGTTCTTCTAAATGTCATCTCCCTCATTTTCAGTCTAATTTCTGTTACTCAAAATGTGATGATCTTAAACATATTTTAGTATCATACCCGTATATATATTTTTTTCTGTATTCTGAGTAGATGTGTCTGCATGAAGTATTGACAGGTGCTTTGCCTGTATACAGGCAGAATTAACTCACTTAAGAGATTTAAAGGTAAATTCTAATAGAGAACGAGTACTAGTCATTAGAAATGGGACAGACAATAGCATGTATTTCAGCATCTAGAGTTAGATGTTTGATTGTTAGACTTTTGTTTGACAAACGCCTTTGTTACCATAGATTTTGCTCCATTAAACAGTTTTTGTTTCTTAAATCCTCTACGAGTAACTTGGATGCAAAAGTGTCACTGTTCAATATTCCACTCCAAACACGGCTCAAACAACAAAGATATATCTGCGAATAGTTGTTTTAGAAGGTGAAAAAGTTGCTCCTCTGGTTATTCTTAATAGCTGCAAGCTCAACTCCCTCGTCACCCCCATTTCCTGCCTCTCCAAAGCTAGTCACAGAGACTAAAGAACATCAAAAGAATCAAATGGTCACTCAGCTGATCGAGTCAGGAAGAGTATGACCGAGTTTTGTTTTTTGTTTTACCAAATGGCAACACCAGTAAAGGAAGAGAGACTGTTTTCCTCCGCAGTTGAAAAGATCCAGTGAATACTTCTGTACTACTTATGTGCAAACTGGGCACTGCATTTTGTTTTTTGCCCTCACGTATGAGAGATTTTGACTGCTTTTGTTGGTTTGTCTTTCCCCACCAACTGGGGAAAGACAGTTGGACATCATATGATGTCAGAGTTTTTCAGTGACATCATATGAATTACGTTGTCATTACCTTTTTCCACAACTGAACTTTCAAACCGAATATGAGAAACATAACTCCACTGTAATCCAACAAAATGATTCAAATACGGTCACATGATCATGAGCTGCACATAGGTGTTTGTGTTCATGCATGCACATGAGCTCGTGAGAGAGAGGGGCGGGGGGGATGTTGGGGGGTGATAATGGATTTGGGGCATCAGGTGTCCTTCTCTGTGGCCCTGTGAGCAACATCTGGAACCCTTCCCTTCATGGTGACATCACACAACAGGCCTAACCTTTGGCCCTCAACCGGCTAATTAGCAGCATGTCCCTCCATAACTGCCGGGGTCCCCTTTTTTCCCCTCAGAAGCCCCTCTCCACCTGCTGCCTCATGTCACTATAACTGAGATAGAAACACTGTGCGAAAATGGTCTCTGAAAAATATTCCCAAACCCCTTATCCTCCATGTTAAAGACCGTTGGAGAAGAAAAATCCACACACGGGATTAGAAGCACTCAAACACGCAGCTTTCCTAATAGGTCCTGGCTTCCTCCACACAGACCACATGAGAATAAAGGCCCTCTAAGTACAAAAGATAGTTTTGATTGTATTACATCATGTTTTACAGGGAAGAGGGAAAAAGAGCTGCTTGAGTCTATTTCATGAGCTCTTCCAGTTCAGCTCCTCTCCCACCGTTTCTCTGGTGTATCCGTGTATCTCAGAGGTGATCATCAATCTAACAGACTCTATTATTACTTTTCCACTAAGTGCTTTGATTTTCGGCCCACCCAGAAGATTGAGTCCTTGCTTTACCCTCTTTTTTCCCTTCACTCACCTACCTATCCCCTCTTCTGAGCTTTATCTAGTGGTATCTTACTCCATTTCCAATTGTGTAACTCTTCTAAATTTTCTTGAAAAACACCCGAATGCTCTTTGACTTGAAGTTCCCCCATTCTCTGTGAGACTTTTCCCCCTGTGGACACACAACTCAAACAAAAGTTGTATTTGTTCTTTGAAACAGATAAATGAGTTAATGCCTCTTTGGAGGACCATGCCACCGGAAGCAGGGGAGGCTAAAGGTCGGCTCCCCGGAGACACACCTCTTATCCTAGCACATATCAGCTGTGCAGGAAAACACACTGTGTTCACACATACGCACGCACACTCTCGTAGACTTCGTATAAACAATCCTGCGTCCCTGGCAGATATTTGCAGTTTTTATCGTGTATATTTCATTTCCCTGATGAAGAAAAAATATTAAAAGGAAGTGAATAAGAACTAAGAATCCTCACAAGTGTCCTGTTCCCCTAAAAGACTTCCTCCTTCAAGCAGCTTCAGAGAGCATCGGCTGGCTTGGACTTGGCCCTGAGTGGGTCGGTGCATAGAGCATCGGTGTGGAATGATGTGGAAGGCCAAACAGGGGATTGTGGGTGCTAAGTATCCATTACATCAGAGGGGACTGAGGCGCCAGCTTGCCATTTGAGAAGTGACACCCCCCTGTCCATGCCCTTAACTCTGTTAACTACAGATGTGCTGAATGTTGTGTGGACACAGTTAATGTGACAGACTAAGTATCAATACTGCCTTAGTGTTCAAGGTAAAGGCAACTAGTGTGATCACTCAACATGAGTCAGGACTAATTGGGCCCAGCTCATCTTTTCTACTTTTATTATTACAATGATCTTTTTTTTTTTTTTTTTTTTATATGTGTGGCTGGATTTAATTACAGCCGCCCATGAACGTTTTCCACAGAGCCAGTTTTAAGTAATGAATCCATCTCTTTTGAGCCATTTAAGGAATGTGAGTATGCGTGATTGTCCGTCTTTGTGTGTCTCTGTTGAGGCCCTGTGTGGCCCTGAGATGGACTGGTGGACCATCCAGGGTGGACCCTGCCCTCTGTCCACTGACTACTGGGATTGGCTTCAGTCCCCCCCCCCCCCGGCCCCCCTTTGGGAAAAAAAATTTTCAAAAAAGGGAGGGAGGGATGGATGGATGTTTACTTTAAGATAAAGTGAATATTTGGGGGAGTTAAACTGTGGTTAAAATAAATTGTACATCCAGCATTTTGCCAGTGAGTCATCCAGGGTCCCTCAGGGTCCTGAAAACTGTAGGGAACCAGCAAGTCAGAGCAGCACCAGTCTCCTCCCAACATAAGGTAACGCCCTCCCGGGTCATGGAGATAAAAACTCTACTCTTTTCAACCTCAGTCACTGGTTCACGAACATCCTAAAAGTCGGACTTAGCACCCCGTCCATTTTCTGCCAAGCCCACACTTCACGCTCCCATGTTTTGAACCCACTTCAGCCGAATAAACTCCAGCATGTCCACCGGATCTCTCAGCGACGTCGACGACGAGCTCCTGGACGGCATCCTCAAGTTCGGATCGTCCAGTAAAGACTCCAACGAGAGCGCAGAGGAGAGCTCCTCCAACTGCGAGGGCACGTGGGCGAGCGAGGAGAGGGGAGACGCGCCGGGCAAAAAACGGAAAACTGCGTCTCGGAAAACTGCGCCCAAGGGAGTGGCCCAGCAGGAGGGCAAGCAGGTGCAGAGGAACGCGGCCAACGCGCGCGAGAGAGCCAGGATGCGCGTGCTGTCCAAAGCCTTTTCACGGCTCAAGACATCCCTGCCCTGGGTACCGCCGGACACCAAGCTCTCCAAGCTGGACACCCTGCGCCTGGCGTCCAGCTACATCGCCCACCTCCGGCAGATTCTGGCCAACGACAAGTACGAAAACGGATATATCCATCCCGTGAATCTGGTGAGGCACAGAGGAAAATGTGTGATTCTTTTCAGGTGTTTATCGAAGGGATTATCAAGAGTGCGCAGCATTGTAGCCAAATAAAGGGGAAGTATATAGGAATGGGGTTGGAGGGTGCGTTTTATTTCATGAATAGGGTCAAAATGATCAGTTCTCTAACCTGGCCTGCAGAGGAGGCCTTGTGCTTCTCTGACAGGTGCATAAAGGTACAAAAAAAAAGCTTTATGTGAGGAACTCTGGTCAAGTGATCTGACACACTTTACAGTTTATAAGAAGACAAATTAAGGCCTCATATTCATTGTAAAATAAACACCTCCAAACTATTGTATGTAGGCCCATATGCAAATTTAAAAACTTTTCCAAAATCTAACTTGTTTTGTCATATTATCACTCTAGTGATATCCTTCGTTCAGGTTCATTTACGTTGATAATAGTCACTTCTAAGCCAAATTCAACACATTGAAATAGTCTAACAAGATTAGAGGAGTGTTGGAGGCGTTTTCTGGACCTGAATCCAGTTTTTTTTTCCTGATCCATACAATCCTAGTTTTGCAGACGAAAAAAAAACAAGCAAACAAAAAAAAAAAACACTAGAAATCAGGTGAGAATTTTAGGTCAAGTCTTATTTTATTCATTGTATTTTTATGTCCTGACTGACTGTATTCTCCTCTGCAGACGTGGCCGTTCATGGTCTCTGGGAAGCCGGAGAACGATTTGAAGGAGATGCTGAACGCAACACGGTTGTGTGGAACAACGCCGTCTTGATGCAAATGAGTGAAGACTGCTGTATATTTCCTACAAAAAACAAACGAAAAAAAAAAGAATCGCCTTGACTGAAAAGTCTACTCTTCGCAGACTTTGAGTGGGAATAATGGATGGAGTGCATTCTCTCTCCTTCGTTCCCGTAATGGAAAAAAAAAACTGAGAATATTTTTTATTTAAATGCATTCTTCCGCCCGTTGTCTTTGCTGGTTCAAAGATGATCTTTGTAGGCTACTTTTAACCTTAAACGGCTTTTTTAGAATCTGCAGATTGTGTCTGGTCGTGCGGGCCTGTTTTCGTGATGGATGGACTATGCACACGGACATTTCAACTGGCCACAGTTTGACATTGCTGTACAGGCTGCGTGTATAAAACATATTTGTATCACTTTTATGCGATGTGTGCTGGAGGCTTTATTTCCTGATATTTGTATGTTCTGGTGTGGGCCAGTGCTTTGACCCGGTAACCCCTCTTATCGGTCCTCTCCTCCAGAATAGGAGAACCTGAGCACCAACAAAGCGTGGGTGCAGATAAGTCCCTCTCTGTTGTTTCTGGAAGATAACAGTGGACGTGCTTACAATTACATAAACACATTCTTGCCTTTAAAGATTGTTGGAAACCCAGCAACGAGGTGGATGCTCTTGGACTTTAAGCAAGTCGAACAGAGTTTGATAACGTGTGATGTGAAACGTAAACTGTTACCTTCCAGTCTTAGATATTTTAATATGAGATATAGGTCAAATTTAAGAACAAAATACAATTTGGATAAAGAAAAATAAACTATGGAATTGGAACGAAGTAGCTTAAAACTGGCGTAAACAAATACTTTCTTTTATAAGCATGCTTGATCAACTATTAATTGCATTTAGCTGTGAGCTGATTGGATCGACTGATTTGGATCCCGCCAATTGGGAGTGAGGAGTGGAGCTGAGGTCAGAGGATATTGTAGATACCTTGAAAGCCGCAGAAGACCAGAATGCCCCGAGCATTCCCGTCCAGACCAGTTGTTTTAATTTGCCCGGGTTGTGACCGCTGTGTTTACATCATGCCGACAGTTATTTATGCAGTCTGACACGCGGCCTCTTTCTCGCTTTTTTTTTTCCTCAAAGAAGGACACCACAGGAAAAGTGTGGGCATATATCAATCTTAATACGTAATCCCTACTTTCCTCCCATTCCCTTCTGTCTCTCACATGCACGCTCCCTCCTGCACAAATGATAGTGTTTTTTTATTCGTTTTATTTAAGAAAAAAAATCAAAACAAAGGAGGTGTGCACATGTCTACCACCTTCTGCAAAAGCAGTAGGATTTATTTTGTATCCTATAAAGGCCAATAGCCTATTTAGGCCTACTTAACCAGGCTATTTATTATTTAGTATTTTTATCTTATCATTCAACATGGTGGATGTGAATAACAGCATGTTAGTTTTCTATCTTAGCCAATTATGCTCCATTTACAGATAATTTCATTACTTTGGATTTATTCTAGTTGTTAAACCTTTATTTACAACAACTTAGTGGTCTGAATGTCAATTGCATATATCATATTGACTTTGGGGATGAGCCTACAACAAATGGTAAAGTCCTTTAATCCCTCAATGCTGTCCAATAAAACAACATTAAAATGGTGCCTTCACAAACATACTTTAGTTTTAGATGTTTATGTTGATATTTTGCCAGTATTTTTTATCTGAAAAACATTTTGATAGCAAGACTTTCGCTGGATACTCTTTAAATGAAGATGATATAAGCCTGAAAAAATGCAAACTTTATTTCAGATTTAAACACAGCACTAACCAAAATATTATTTTCCAAGTTGCCATGGGAACTTTTGTTATCAGAAAGATTTAATTTCTAAAATCCAACTAGGTTTTCTCTATTATCTAAACTACTTTCTGTCCTTCCAGCTTGAGGGATATACCTGTCAGAGTCTAATCACACACTTGTTACCTCACTTTGTCTCTCCAGAAAAGACGGTACCATACGTCCTTTAACAGCAACAATAAGATTGAGTGCTTTAGTAATAAAGAGTTCCACTGACATCTTTTCAGGGACCCTCACCTAATACATCAGTGGCAGCGTGGGGGCCTCGCCACCACCCCAAAGGGACCACCGTGGAGAAAATAAACTTGGCCGCCATTCTCCTGAGGCCAGCTGCAGAGAGCCAGAGAGGAAAAGAGATAGAAGAAGAGGGGGAGGGGGGCTCTGTTTGAGTGCAGGGCTGGGATTCCCATACTTGCTAATTGTTTTGTTGGACAGCTGCCCAATCTGTGATGTGAACAAAGTATTCTGATGAAGGGGAGGACAGAAATTTGGTTCCGACTGATCTCCTCATGTTCTACATCTGCATGAGTCTTCATGATCGTTGTTATAAAAGCAGTTATTTCACATTGACATGTGTCATATGCAATCCATCTACTGCAGCCCAACAGCCTCTACTTTACATTCCAGCGCCCTCATCTATGGACATAGAATTATTGGACTCAAGCAGGCAAGTTGAAAGACACACCTGACATATAATATCATATCAAGACTGGATGCTAGAAATATGCAAAGCACACAACTCCATCTCACTAGTGGTGATTCCCTATATTTTTATGAGCAAGGAGTACCATTAGACTGCCATCTTCTGGACAAAATATAAACTGTTGGGCTTTAACAACAATGCATCTAGTCTGCCATCATTTGCTGTTGAAAATACATCCGAAGATGATATCCAGCATCATCTGGGCTAAAGATGGCTGAGTCGTTACTCAGGTGATATTGAGCAAATTCTTTTTATTTGAGAACGGTATTGGCCTGAAATTGTCATGTAATAAACTTTGATTACACATTCACATGTAAAATAATAACATTTGCATGGAAATTGTGACAGAAAAAAAAAAAAGATTTCAATGATCTAAATATTTCCTTTCCAAAATGACCATTCATATGAACAAATATTTTAAGCCTGTTTGACAGAGTATCACTTTTTGTGTCTTGTGTGCAAAATGTGAAAGCAGGTTGTGTTCTGGATTTGATCTGTGTATTTCATTGATGTTTTCTGTCTCTGACAAAGCTGCAAATCACCTAAATAGATCTATGTTTAATTTATTATGTTCTATTTGAGTTTAGAGAAACACAACTACTGTTGAGCTTCTACTTATTTATTTGAGGGCTCTACTGAAGTAAAGAGACAACTTTTTAGATTTACAAAGTTGAAGAGTAGAATAATTATGCTTTGAAATGACAAAAAGGAATTAATAAAAAAATTCTCAAGTTTTAAGGTAGAAGCCCACACATATGGAAGTCAATGAAGAATTTATTTTTCTCCTGTTTTCATCTTGAAGAAGGACGAACACATGTATTATTTTTCAAACTATTCCTTTTTTTCAATTTGAAAAAAATATTGCAGATTAGAATATTTAAAATGAGGCATTATTGTTGGTTGAAAAAAAAAAAAACATGAGTGACACAAGTAAAATCCTTTTTGATTGTTAAGAGGTGGTATACAAACAATTCTGCTACCAGGGTTTAAACAGAGCTAAATAAATGTGGTTGCCCCACAATTTCACCAGCAAGTGGGTCAAAGTGGATGTTGATGGAGCGTGTTTTTCTTTCAGAATAGTCTTTGCTGCTTTCAGTGTTGACCAGTAGATGGAAGCAAAAGAGCTCATAAAGTTTGAAACATGATGAAAGCGCTGTAAATGATCCTAATAAAGACAAAAGAGAAAATGTCGAAACAAAGATGATTCTGTTATTCTGTGGTAAGACTGTTTAATGGTGAAGTAGATACAAAGTTAAATGGCCAGGCTGGAGCGGTGACTGCTGGCCATTTGGTTGAGATGAATTAATCTTACAAATTGTCTGTTGGCATAAATGAATAAAGAAATAACAGCCTTTGACTCTGTATGTCCTCTAGGTGCCAGTAAAGACTAAATATCTATCACTCTCAGTTTGAATGCAAAATATGTCTGCAGTAGTAAAGTTGATGGTGTTGTGGTACCGAGTGGTTCAATTTATCAGGTAGCTGCAAAATGGGGATTTAAAAAATCAAAATATGTATCACAATTATCTAAAATGTATAATATGTAATAAAGGCTCAACTTAGTCAGGGGACTAAATTAGTTTTTTGGGTTCCTGCTTAAATGTAAGAAAATAATCTGGTTAAATGTTTAAGTTGATGTTTCGTTGGTTTGCCTCTCTCTCTTGGCATCCACGCTGCTCTAAATGATGTAAAGCCCCATGCTGACCTTGCATTTAAAAATTTGCCAGATATCATAACATGGCCAGAGCTGGATGACAGCTGGTAGTGGTGTGGAATCCATATCAGATGGTCTTTCTACCCGGGCAGACTGGCACAGCAGCCACCATGGAGATGCCAAAGATAGCTGGGGCCAGCCCAGATCACCAACTCACGTTTACTGGCATGCTCACACCCCTGTGTGTGTGCTTTAATGCTGGCATCACATTTTGATTATTAAAAGAGGCACAGCAGGTGCCTGCCATCATACTTGTGGCCTTTATGTCAACCCTGCTCATCTATAGGTTATCTGTTTGTTTTCACCCCAACCGCAAGATCGCCACCTCTCAGAAATTCCATTTAGACTTAGAATATAAAGTTCACCAAAAAAAATTTGATGCAACTGATAGCAATGAAAAATGTAAAGAAAACAAAAAACAAGAGGGGCTAAAAGAAAGTGAGTCTCTTACCCAGTGTTTCTCTTCCAGTAGCTCCAAGGAGGGTCAAGGTTACAAAAGACCCACTGTTTAATCTCAAAAGTCAACAGCTGGTTTTGAACATCTCCTCAGAAGTTGACAAAGTTGTTTTAGTAAAGGGCTGTTCTTTTGTCATGCAGCTGTTGGAATGACTGAACTGACAGAGACGGCTTATTCTGTGTGTGTGGGCTGCTCGGGAGTTTCTGGAACTGAGACGAATTCTGCAAAAGATGCTCAGCATGACAAACAGTGCTGCCTAACAGCTACAGAACATAGCGATCAAACAAGCGTGTTCAGTCAGAGGTT